GGGGGATGGGCCTCCATTAGGCTCCTCCTCCTTCTGGCCGAACAGCTGCTGGGACGACCCGCGGGTCACCAGGAAATACCTGAGAATTCTGGTTCTCAAGCCTCTAAATATCCTCAATCCATCAAAAGCCCCCCCGCGCGACAGCTCAGAGATTGTTTGACATTCGGGGGTGCGCTCGCTGTCTTTCCGAGAATCAGATGAGAAGATTAGTCCGAAGATTAATCCGACACTCAGCTGTGAATAACGAGGCTGATAACAGGTGCCGGGAGTCAAAGTCACAGCACCCTCCCACAGTTTACCGGCTCCACAGTGTGAGCCACTACAGGAAATGAAAAGGACGAATTGCTTCAGGAGTCGTGCGGTTTTCCTGACTCAATACTGATTCATTTTAATTTTTCGTTTCAATTTTATTTCTATAGCGCCACATCCCAACAAAAGTTATATGCCAGCTTTCCAAACAGAGCAGGTCAGACCAGACTCTGAAGTTATGTACAGTAGAACAACAGTTCCCACCAAGAGCAGCACTAGGCGACACAGGGAAGGAAAAACGTCCTTTTAACAGGCAGAAACCTGCCATGCTAACGCTACCATGCTAACACTACTATGCTAACGCTACCATGCTAACACTACTATGCTAATGCTACCATGCTAACGCTACAACGCTAACGCTACCATGCTAACGCTCACTCTACCACGACGTCTGCCACAGATGGGCGCAGTAAGCTGAGGGGGGGGGGCAACATGCAGGTGAAAGGCTGGAATATTATAATGAGCTAGAGCTAATGACGTCAGAAACTACCCACTCCTGAAACCTCCTGATTTATCTCCTGGATTCAGACTGAGGCAGCCCACAAAAACATGACTGAGTAATTTTTTTCACCGTTTGCCTGCTGATAGGCCCTCCACAGCCCCAAATGTAAACAATCAAATTATTAAAAACTTGGTCTTGCATAATATGTCCCCTTTAAATATCAGAGTAAACTGATCTTTGGAACTCCACCTTCAGCTTGAAGGCCCCAAAACACAAGCTGGAGGTGGATTTAAATAACCGACCGCCACATCACAGGCATTCTCGGCCCGAGTGTGAACGCTGAGTAATGCGGCTCCTTCGCACCAGGCCTCCAGCGATTAGACAACAAAAAAAAAAAAGCCTGACATAAGTGTGAAGGCCTGCCAGGCATGAGGCCGTTTGTTATTCATTTGCCGGACACTTCAAAGGCTTGGATCAGCGCCCAGTTTGACACTTACTTTGACTTTTTCTCTTCTAACTTGTTGAGACCATGTTGCTTGTCTCTCTTTATTTGTTTTCCTTCTCCCGTTTTTCATTTGCACACGTCAGGCTGCAGATTGCAGGAAGCCAAAAATGGATATCCAACTCCGCCCACATCCAAGTCGGCCATTTTGATTAGGTCATGTGACTAGCAGCTTTCTGAGGTGGAAACAAAACTTTACTGTCTATATGAAATCGGAAGACAAACGATGTCCTGACCCTAACCCTGACCCTGACCCTAACCCTGACCCTGACCGTAACCCTAACCCTAACCCTAACCGTAACCCTAACTGTAACCCTAACCTTAACCCTAATCCTAACCCTAACTTAACCCTCCATTCTTCATAATTGTGAGAAATAAATGTTTTTTGGTTAAACTTGTTTGGACTTATTGTACAAACCTATTTAACATACACGATTTTAATATAACATTATGTATAGAGTTTAATTCAGTGTTTGCAAAATTAATTTAACTATGTGTAAATTAATGACTATATTGCCATGAAGCAATTAGGATTTTCTTGCATGGGATCTTCCTATTTGTAACCTAATCAAAATGGCCGACTTGGATATGGACGGAGTCTGATATCCATCCTCGGCTTCCTGCAGTCTGCAGCCAGACGGACTTGAGACGTCAGTCTACATTAAGAGACATTTAGGCAGGAACCTTATTTATTATTGATTATGGCGTCCTGAACAAATGCTGAATGGAACTCATTCCTACAGAACAGCTCACAGTTCACCACCGAATGTCTGGTCTCTTTCCAAGAAAATACATTTATGCCCAACGTCTGCATCAGAGTGTTTGCACTTTTATGCCAATTATGTATTTTAAGTTCAATTTAGGTGGAATCAACCTGAATTTTGATGTTTGGGGTTGGATCCCGCCCACAGATGTTAATCGTGGATTTGATTGACAGTTAGAATTACAGGAGCCAGGGACTGAGGTTTTGGTTTGACTTATTCATTAAAAATAAACTGTCAGACTTTGCTTTTGTTAATTAATTACAAGCCTAAATCTCACATTCCCCATGATGATTGAGGGAAGAAATGGTGAAGCTTTTAGAAACTGTCTCCCTCTTTGTTTTAGAAGTTCTGGGTCTTTAATCTTTGTGGGAAGATATAATAACAAAAGGAGTAAAACCCCTTTTTTCCCAGTGATTTGTGAAAAATAATCTTTTTTTAAAAAAGGCTGTGAAAAAAAGCTGAGGGGTTAAACCTCTTGTTTACCAGTGATTTGTGACAAGAAACTTTTTTTAAAAAGGCTGTGAAAAAAAGCAGAGGGGATAAACCCCTTGTTTTCCAGTGATATGTGAAAAAGAAAGAGTTTAAAAAAAGGCTTTGAAAAAAACAGTGACTAGAGAGAGATGGGGCAGGAACATCTGATCATGAAAAGGAAACAAACTGTCTCTGAACGCTTTGAGCAGAAGTGGCTGGAACAGGCAGAACTCTGCTAAAGCGAGACGTTATGTCCAGAGATAACAGCACGTTCTGGGGGGGGACGTCTCAGAACTACCACCGCTAAACAATCAGGCCGCAAGTCTGGTTGTTAAATGAGTCGAGGTGGCAGAATAAGAAGCATATTGAATCACTGAATCGGTATAACTGAAGCATAGACGCTTTTCTGTGTAAAATTAGCTGGTATTAGCTGTTCATTTGTTGACATATTTCCCAAACAATTAACAGGTGTCGATGAGTAGATGTGTGCTCGAGGGGGATTGCTGTATTCGGAGTGGGTTTGAGGGCTCAGAGAGAGAAGAAGAGCCCCTCAGTGAGGAGAGAACCCAGTTTCCAGTCGAATGTTTGCGTTGGTGAAACTCTGCTGCCATCTAGCGGCTAAAGGGGGGAACAACGACTTGGTACAATTAAAACTGTTTTTTTAATTCAGTTGACTTTCCATTTAAGCTGGAGACAAACCCTTTTCTGCTGTTTTAAGGTAGTCGATTAGAGGTTTTACTAGTTTTTTTTGTAAAATCCAGAATATGAACATTTGAAAGAAAATAGAATATAATTGGTTAAAACATCCAGGAGAGAGCTGGTTTGATGTGTGGAAACAATAAGTTTCAACATTTCAGCCTCTTTGTCCTCAGTTCTCATCAGTAAACTGTGTTTTTCCTGGCAACACTCAATAAACACCACATAAATGTGTCATCATTTTTATTCTGCCATTTTTTTTTTTACAAAAGAATGCTTGATTTAGTCCCACAAAAGACAACAAATATATATAAAAAGGACTGAAATTAATCAAAACTGCTTAAACAAGATATTTTAAAAAAATGAACACTTTGAAAACCTTTCAAATGAGGAACCCCCCCTACATTTACTCGGTTTCTCTACTACAGTAGGGAACAACAACGGGACATTTAGTCTGGGAGAGTCAGGAGCAAAAACAGCAACTGAACTGAAACTGAGCCTTTTTAACAGCTTTTCTGAGTGAAATTAAATCAAATATCCACCGTGGCCTGATTTCACCACAGTTCTGGCCAGAGGAAAGTTCTCTGATACCAAGCTTTTATCGCCAAACATAATTTTCCCCCACCGTCAGACTCAATAAAGAAGCAGGGGGTTGTGCGGCTGACTGGGACTCAGGTGTTCAGCTTTAGGGGGGCGTTGCGTTTCCCTCCCAGCTGCTCCCCGGCGGGCGGGGTTAGCCCACTCTGAGAGGCGGGGCCACAAGGACTACGCCGTCCCCCCGTACGAAGAGCATGGGGATGTTCCTCTTGGTGGACTGGAGGGACAAAAAAAAGAGGAAAACCTTTCTTATACCACATTAAACAGGATGATGAGGTAAGAGGAGCAAAAGGTGACAGTAAACCATTCCCCCTAAATCCTTCCTGCTCAAAGCAGAGCCAGAAGCCTGAGCTTTGAGGGGTAGATTTTAAGACTGGCCCCAAACCTTTGCAAGACAACAGTGTTGAGCTCGACAGTTCAAACCCCATCGGAGTCAGTTAGAACCAGCAAACGGTGCAAGTCGGGGAGTAAATCCGGACCAAAAACAACCAAATAACTGAGAGACTTATTACAACACTTGAGTGTTTTCCACTAACTACCATTTAGTAATAAAAGCCTCTCCTGGGTCCATTTCCTGGGTCTCCCATTCTAAGAGTGTAAGATAATTTAAAAAAACAGAGTAATTTGTAAGCACTGAAAGGCACCAGAGGGCGTTTGCCTAGTTTAAAACATAATTTAAAGTATTAAAACCCGTGTAAAAAAACATTTACAGCGTACCTTTAATGCAGAAAAATGAGGACAACCAAAGGCACAAAGACTTGGGTTTGTAAAAGCAAGTCACCGCATTTCAAAAATGCATTTTGATCAATAAAAACAGGGGAAAAAACTATGCCGTACCTTGTAAAGTTCTTCGTAGGTCTCCTCGTCGATTTCCACCGTGGTCACCGTTTCCTCCACATCACCCAGGATCATGTTCAGGTGCTGATCGTACGCCTGAGTACACAAGAGGCACAAACACCCACAAAGGTTTAAAACGCACCGAATAAACCCCAACAGAAGGGACTTTTTATAGTGTATATATATATACAGTGGGGGAAATAAGTATTTGACCCCTTGCTGATTTTGTAGGTTTGACCACTTACAAAGAATGCTTATTTTTTCCTCATCAGATGGTTATCAATTTTTATAAATTCATATGATGTGATTTTCTTTGGGATTCTGTCTTTCACTGTTAGAATGTACATATGATTAAAGTTATAGATCGTTGCATTCTTTGTAAGTGGGCAAACCTGCAAAATCAGCAAGTGCTCAAATACTTATTTCCCCCACTGTATATATGTATGTATATGCTGTTGTTTTATTTCTGGAGTTAGTCACAAAAATAATTTCCCTCTGGGATTATTAAAGTATTTCTGATTCTGAGTATTTGGACGCGGGCGGCAGCTCACATGCAGCCGGCCGCGGAGCTCGCGGTCGTTCCTCATCTTGACGTAGATCCGCTCGTCCAGACTGAGTCTGATCAGATCGAGGGGCTCCTCCACCGTGTTGGTGGTCGGGGGCTGTAGGAGACATCAGAAACATTCATCTCTCATTCGTGCTCAAGAGGTCGAAATATTCCTTACATGCATTTGAGCCTTATATACTTAACACAGAAGCCTATGATGGAAACAGTTTCTTTTGATATTTTCTTTAAGAATATTTCAAATATTTGTCATTGTGCAGCTGATTATGGACTTTATGACACACTTTGAAAAAAGTTAAGAAATACTCGATATTTGACTCATTTTCTAAACAGTATAAATACAAAGCAAAAAAGTAAAAAATATTTCAATGCTTAAGGCATAAAATGATCATTTTTCATAATCTTATGAAACAAAAAAACAAAACAAAAAAAGATTTATTTGAGGCAAAGACGCAACAGAGTATAAATACTGATGCATATCTGACAACTAGAAATCCCAGGAACATTTGACTTTTTTAACAGGTGCATCCTACCCAATTTTCCTGTTTTTTTTCTCTTTAACTCTGTTAACAAACTTGTTTCTTTTTTTCAGTGTGCAGACTACTAGAAAAAAAGCAAAAATCAGCATTCAATGAAGTCAATTAAGTCATCAAGTAAGAACAGGCTGATTAATCGAGCCCTTCAGTTGCTACTTTGAGATATTCTGCATCAGCATGGGGAAAAACTGAGCCAACAAACAATAATTAACCATAGAACAAGATATTTGTTAATTGTTGACATGCAGCAATATTACAAAGAAAATATTTTTGGAAAGAAAAATAATTCCCCGTCTTACTATATGCAGACAAAGTTTTTGGTGGAATCTAAAATAAGAAGTCAGAGAACCGATTATCTGTGGCGTGTGTATTTCAGTTTTAAAGTCTATTTTTAGTGTACAAATCCATAGAAGAACACGCCTAATCAAACACGTTATTTTTAACGGTAGCATTAGAAGCTAACCAGGCTAAACCGGCTAGCAGGTCTAACAGGCCCAAACGGTCCACTGACACAATTATGAGGCACAAAACCAAACTTTAGGCTGTTATAATCAACGGAAAATATTATAGATATCCATATTTCTGCATAAATACATTTACATCAACCCTGAGATGGAATTAAAAGGATATTTGAATCGGGTTAGGCAGACCTGTTCAACTTCGTCCGCCATGATTTTAGAGTTGCGCGCAGGAGATTGACGTCACGACAGTTGCCAGATCCGTAAAAAAACGCTTCGAGGTTGGGGTAAACTTGACCCATTTTTTACTGCCGACTGAGCGTTTTTTTTCTTTTTAATCCAAAAAACCCGTAAGCATAAATCAAATTTTAACTACAATTTACAGTGCGAGCGATTTTTAAAAAATGCTGATATTAAAACAGTCATCATCACCCACTAACCACTGAAAATTAGATAAATATAAGTTCTTATTTACATGTTTGATTGCCTTATGGTAACCTTTTATTTAGTCTACTAATAAGATTAGTTGAATTCGTCCGAAATCTGACCATGTTCTGCCCCCTGACGTTCATTTTCCGTTCATCGTGTGCAAACCTGGCAACCTCGATGACAATAAGCTGCGCGCTCTCC